GCCTTGCTGGCGGCGGGCGCGTGTGTGGGCGCTGGGAGCAGGAGCGAGCACAGGAGGCCTGGCCCGGGTTGGTTGGCAGTCCGCGCCAGGTTCGCGAGGGGCTCCTGACGTCCAGTGTCACCACAGGCGCTCGCACTTGGGGCAAAACTGCGGGGCCCTCTGTGTAGAAAACCGCCCCGCTCTTTTGCTTTTTGGTCCCTCTCGGAGCTTGGCAAGTGGCGCAGTGAATGTTTATTGAGTCGAGTAAAGCAAGCCTGTTCTGACCTCCCCTCCTCAGTGTCCTCTCCCGGCCTCCCCGTGTGATTTGACATCAAGCCATTTCCCTGTAGAGCTCGACCTGCCCAGTAATTCCCTGGGGTAATTGGGTGTCGGTGGTGGGGCGCTTTTACCATCATAGCTTTAAAAATCGTGATGTTAGCCTTACATAGTGTAGCTACAGATTCCGCAGTAAAAAAAAATTCACTTATTTAGGAAAAGGGAGGGAAATTGTGACGGAAATGGGTAAGTGAATATTAAGACGAAACTTTGAAAACAACTGTAAATGTTGTAAATTAACATGTGAGTACTAATAAAAGAGTAAGAGAGAAAGCTACAATTTATGTGGATTTCGCCAAATAACTCCAATAAGTGAAATATGATGTTTAAATATACTTGTCATTTCATCCTGAGGGAATGGACATCATTCATTCTCCCCATTTTACTGTCTTAGAGTGTAACAAATTGCCTCTCTATGATACATTTTAAAATAATGGAAATCTAAAAACTTTAAAGTCTGATTATTTAAAGTTGACACAAATTCCAGTCTCTTAGGATATGAAATGAAGATTAAGTATTCAGTACAAGATAAAGCGAACAGATAGATTTTTGAGGAAATTAATTTGCCCTTTAAAGAAAAATACTTTTTCCAGCCCCAGTGCATGCATGATCACACACACACACACACACACAGAACCACACTGTATGAGTTCAAATTCCTCGTTATCTTTACTTTGAGCAGTGTCCACCCCCCATCCCACCCCACCCCCGTCCTCTGCAAGAACAATTCTTTAATTTGGTAGGCACTGGAAGGCTTTCTGTGAATTGGGATTAATAATTATCTAAGCCCCCATAAGGTTGTTGAAGAGATTGAATGAAGTGATGCATGAATTCTTAGAACATAATGAACATTCAGTAATTGTTAGCTATTACATTCCCAGTTCAAACCACTACTAATGTTATCTTTCTGGGACTTAATATTACATAGGTCCCCCAAACAGCCTTTCACATTTATTCTACCCAAGAGGAATGACTGTGATGGTACCACTTTCTTGAGCTATGGCAATCAGACCTGGGAGTAGGAACTTGTCTACAGGACACCCAAACTTGGCAAGGATGTTACAGATTATGAACGATAATGGCTTTATTCCCTCCCAGCACTGATGATATCAGAGGTGAGTGTGGCACCAATTACAATGCCTATGTTAAATAGAACTTCTGGATTCTAGTTTTTTATTGATACTAGTAAGTAGGTAAAGACCACTGACATTAATGTACTTATTCTTTAAGACTAGTTGTGTGTGTGTGTGTTTCAGTGTGCTCTCTTTACTCTGAGTTTCCAAGTAATCATCATCAACAAATCTTGAGATTTTCCTATGTTAAAGGCATTCTGCTGGGAATTATGGATACAAGTAAGTAAAATTGTGACCATATTTTCTGAATTGAAAGTCATGGAAGTGATTTGACAGGCAAGTGTCTGAAATCAGAACTATTCTAAACTATCTAGATGCCATGGTTATCTTTCATCTAGAGGCTCTTCCTTTCTTTGCTAAATTTTTATCTTATGTGAATGACTTTTGTCACTCTGTATAAATATCACAGTGCTCCAGCTTCATCTTCCCAGGTGCTGGGATTACAGACGTGTATAGCTATCATTTTTATTTATATCATTCTTTATTTTTTTCAGAGGAGGTCATACCCTTGAAGAGACAGAGATCCCTAAATTGAAAACAGGGAATGCCACTTTCTTCTCAAATGGGACCCTTATTAATCAGAGAAGGGAATGTGGTGTCATCAATGAATTTGACAATTTAAATTTATAAGTAGATACCAGGGGTAGATTGAGGACTCCTACTTCTAAAAATATATATCACCTAGCAGTCCTTTGCTGTATACCTTGATGAAAGGAATTCTTTTCATGGAAAAATAATAAACCCCTTATTTAATGTTTTTATAAATTTGTACTTCCTCATCAAGTTTTCTTATAAGGTGCCTCGTTTACTGAATGTACATCCAAAACATTCTGTTGGTTGGCTTCTGCTGAATTAGCAGCAAAACTTTCAGTCTTCAAAGGAAATAGTTTAAAAATGTATAAAAAACATACAAAAAGGAGTGCCAGCATGGGCTGAGTATAGTGACGTGTCTATAATCTCAGCTACTCAGGAGGCTGAGGCAGGAGGATCAAAAGTTTGAGACAACTTAATTAGACCTTATGTATAAATAAGTAAATAAGAGTTGGGGTGGGAATATAGCTTAGTAGGAAGCCCCTACGTTCATTCTTTAACACGTACATACACAATAAAGAATACTACTTGGAAACCCTCTCTGAGAAACCTCTCTCACACTAACTCTTCCCTTTAGATCTCATTTACTTGGAAGATCATTCCTTAGTTGCTTCTGAATATCTGGTTTGGCTGGGAACAATTCCCACTGTATGGAACACAGTTCCCATTCCATGTGTGAAATCCCTTTCATACTGCCTGCAACAAAGTAACTAATAAAAGCAGTTATCTTTTATTATTGATAAAACTAGTATTTAGAAAACTATGGCACTCTGCTCAAATCTGGCCTAGCACCTTTTATTGGAACACAGTTGTACTCATTAGTTCATGCATTTTCTGTGTATTAGGATTCTCCAGAAAAACAGAATCAATCATGTACTGTATATTATCTGTTTATCAAGAGATTATTTTAAAGAGTTGTCTAATGCAGTTGGAGGGGCTGGCAAGTTCAAAATTTGTAGAGCAGCTGGCAAGCTGGAAATACAGAAGTTGATGCTATAGTCAGCTGAATTTCTTCTCTAATGAATGTATTCATTTTATACCATAAACATCCTAATAAAAAATAAATTTCAGTTTTTTGCTCCTAAGACTGAATGAGGGCCATCCACTTTACTAAGAGTAAGCTCCTTTATTTACAGTCAACAGATTTGTAAATGTGTTTGTTTGTTTGTTTTTTGGTACTAGGGATCGAACTCAGGACCTTGTGCTTAGGAGGCAGGCAGTGGCACCACTGAGCTAAATTCCCTGCCCTAGATTGTAAATGTTAACCACAACTATAAAATACCATCACACCAACACCTATATTAGTGTTGATTTAGTGTCTGGGTTCTGTAGCCTTGCCAAGCTGACACATAAAGTTAACCATCAGCCATCTATCATTGTTTTTTCCATATAATAGCACAATTGAGTAGTTTTTGTAGAGATGTAATGACCCAGAAATCCTAAAATATTCACTATCTGGTCCTTTGCAGAAAATTTCCTGACCTTTGGAGTAAATCATAAACTATATATAATAGAGTCCAGGCACCTGTACATGCATGGACATATGTTTGCTCACACATATGTGTACACACACAGATTTTACAGTGTTACTAAGAATTGTGCTTGGCTGCCCATGTCCATGTTCATATCAGACTACATTTTGTGAGAGTAGAAACAAAAGAAGATAGTGATATAAGCTCCTTGGCACTCCTTCTGGAAGTTTTCATCCCCCTTAAATTTTTTTATGTGTATGTATATACACAATTATAAAAAGGTATGTATGTGATGGTACTGTATATACTGTACTGGCTATTTTAGTGTAGCATTTCCTTTCTTTTTTTTCCCTTTTTCTCCCCTCCCCTTTTCCCTCTTAAATTTGACTCTTCTTCCTTTAACTAGTGCTTCATAAACATTTTTTGTAACTCACATTGGTTACTTGAAAGTTTTTTGTTTTTTTTTTTGTGGTACTGGGGATCTAACTCCTGTGAGGTGGGCTCCGGAACCACTGAGCTAAATCCCCAGCCCTTGAAAGTTTTGAACTTGTGTTTCATATTAGGATCCTAGAATATAAAAAAAAATTAACATTTCTGGTTACACTTTTTATCAATTTTATAAACTTATATGATTATTTTGTGTTAGGCTTTACTTTTTTCCTGGTACATAAATTGCATTATTACTGATAACTATAAATTGGTGAAATAGTTGGTTATCAGAATTTTAATATTTATTAATAATTTCAATTAGAATAAATACTAATCATATTATAACATTTGAGTTGAGGATGTAGCTCAGTGGTAGAGAATTTGTGTTGTGCGTAAAAGGCTCTGAGTTAGATCCCCAGCACCAAAAGAATAAAAAAAAAAAAAATCATTAAAAATGGTTTGAGCAGATAAAAATGTGTTTCTGAAAAGTTTGGGTAAGCCTTGTGCACATAATACCTGTAATGCCATCTATGAAGGAAGTTGAGGCAGGACTGTTTAAACTGGCTTGGGCCAAAGAGGAAGAGCCCATCGCTTAAAAAATGTTTTTAGAAAAGTTTAAGTTTGTTGATGTTGTTGCTTTTGGTACTGGGAATGGAATTCAGGACCTTCCACTAGCACCAATGAGCTAAATTCCTGGCCATTTAGATGAGCTAAATCTTTGAGTAAAGATTTTTAAGTTAATTTTTAACTCTTCTTGAAAATGTCTAGAATAAAAATTGCTGCTCCTATCCTTGGAA